ATTCTGTTTTAAATGGCAGTCCTTTTATTATTTTAATGTAAGGTTAACATTCGGTTGCCGGTCCAGTCCTAAACTTTTTAACACAGTGTCACAGGCAATATGCTATATTGCAGAGAAAAATTATAAAGATAAGAATATTTTACATCTACTGGATGATTTTCTGACTATTGATCACCCTAGTGAGGATGGTGAAAGAAGCATGGCTATAATGATGACCATTTTCAAACGTTTAAATATTCCAATGGCCAAGCACAAGACTGAAGGACAGGTAACTTGCTTAGAGTATTTAGGCATTATATTAGATACAAATAAAATGGAAGCAAGACTTCTAAAAATTGAAGTACAAAGGATATGTGATTTTATTAAAAAAAAACTCACGTACGAAAAGACAGCTATTACAGTTGTTAGGACATTTCAATTTTGCCACAATAGTTATTTTACCTAGCAGATCTTTTTTGTCATATCTTATTAATTTGTCAACTACTGTTAAACATTTGATTGAATTTGTTCATTTAACCAAAGAATGTAAAGTTGATTTAGAATTTTGGTTGAGACTTTTATCAAACTGGAATGGTATCACCATGTTTCATGATAGCTATTTTACATCACGTTTTGATATTGAACTGTATTTTGTGGGTCTTTGTTTTCAAATTCTGAAATTACAATACAATTAAGCTGTATATTTGCGGTATAAGATACATGTGTCTGAAGGATGACATACCTTCACCGTTCCAGTCATCTGACAAGGACCATAAATCAATGGTTAGACTCTCCTTAGTTCTGAAGTCGGTAAAACGATCACAAAAACAGTCTGTCAAGACTTCCAATTACTTCTGACATATTTAAGCAAGTATGTTTTAAACTGAAGATGGGTTACATTTCAGAGTTTACAGATTGTATGCTTGAAACTGTTTGTATTGTAGCATTTCAATGTGGTGAATTTACTGTAGATAAAGCATTTAATTTGGATTCAGATTGTAATTTATGTGTTTCTGATGTACTATTTCATGCAGATTTTGCAATTCTACATTTACAACAATCTAAAACTGATCATTTTAGAAAAGGTATTGACATACAATTGCATAAGCTTAACAATACTCATTTGATCAAAACTTTGGGCAGATGGAATTCTGATAGTTATTGTCGATACATGAATTATGCACAGCAACAGATTTGTAACAGTTAGTTTGATTTAACAGAACTTTGTTAATATTCATTTATAGATACATGTATGTAGCATTAAGATCAACTCTTATATTTTTAGTAATACTATCATTATCATTAATGCAGTTTGTCATAATATTAAAAATATGTACATTTATATTGTGTTTTCAAGGAATTTCCCAGTGTTTAATTGAAGGCTTCCTTTTTACTTAATTCTTCCCATTCATTACCTTGGGGGTCACTCAGCTGTTTCACTTCTGATTTTTTTTACCCTTTCGAAATTTCCCCCCAAGTCATTAAATGCAATACATCTACATGTATTTCTCCACTGTCAATCTGACCCCTTTTATCGTAGCCACCTGCTAAGATGGAGCATTGATTCATCCCCTTATAGGAACTCATCTTGTTTCGGTTGGTTGACGGAGTGTCCATGTCCATTGGGCTTGGTCCATCTATACCAAGTGTCGTCGACAGGGCCTAGAGCTTAATTTCCCTTCACTGAGTACGACTCCCAAGGGCCAAACTTTTATATTTCTATACCAATAAAGTTTTGAATATATATATAATCTTGTTGTCAGCAGCAAACTCAATGATGTCTTGTTATGCAGGGAGTTTCTATTCCGTATGTCTTAAAGTAGATCTTGAAGGTGGTGTTTGAGTCATCATGTTATAGAACTGGTGTATAGAATGAAGGTGTAGCTTCCTAGAGTTAACTCCCCTATACAGTGAGGTTCCTGTTTTACTCTGTCACAGTAGGTTTTGTCCTATTCAGTTGAGCCAGAGGGTATAACATCAGAAGTAGGTTCATGAATGATGATTCAAGTCATATTTGGTATATAAGTCACAAGTCTTAAATCTATGAAAAATATATCACCAGGAAAACCTAAATAAGAGAACTACAAATACAAAATTTCAAGAGAACTACCCAGAACACTTTAAAAATAAGAGAGCTACAAATACAGGATTGAAAAAGAATCACCTGGAACACCAGAATATAAGAACTGCAACAACAGGGTTTAAATCATTAGGAACACCTAAACAAGATTCAACTATAACAGGGTACACGAATCATTATTGGTATAGCATATAATATATAATACATGTATCACAATGTGTTGCTACATCCTTTGTATCGTCTAACTGTGGAAAAGCTCGTGCACAACAGACATAGTAGTTTTTAGTCACATGGTCTACTTTATAAATGGCCATTACAGCTTACATTACATCCTTTAAGTCCTTGGAGTCGAGAATAAAATGAAAATAAAGTCAAGTTCTGATGAACTACTAGTATGTACTACTTATAACCAAATTCTATACCAACTATACTTACCTTTTATTCAAAGAAACTAAAACTGATCAAATCATGAAAAATTCACATTTGTCAAGATAAGGTGAACTCTGTAAATGGGCAGGTACCCCTATCAATCATTTACAAACCAAATATAAAGTTCGCTTATTACTTAAAGCATCAGATAAATTAATATAATCAAGAAAACTTAATAATGATCACTGATTGACTGAACTATGAAATGAGGGCAAGATTGTGTGAACCCTGTCTGACAAACATTTCTACCTTGCAATGATTCTGTGAACCAAATAAAGTTTATTTATTCATATTTATAATATACTAAAAACCTTAACAAGTTTATCTGCAAGCATTTAACAATAATAATTAGGCAAAAGATAGTTAGCTATGCAGCCAACCATGCCACATTGTTCACATGTGAGCTAAAATTTAGTGATCCTTGTTCGAAAATGTTAAATGCAATTTACCGTTTACTCTTGGATGAGTAGGGCTGTCGACCATTTTATAAAGCCTTTGAAATAAGTAATATCTATTGATTTTATCATATAAGCTCAAGAAAAAAAATTGAATAATGACAAACATGTCTGTGTCAAAAATATTAAGGCCAGGTCAAACAAATTTGAGGTGAAAATGGTCTGATATAGGATATCATATGGCCTTATTTTCAATACAAGAATTTGTGTTATACCATTCTTTTAATTTTTAATTTTTTTTTACTGTGATGAAGTAACTATTAGAAAGCCATGCCCCACAATCAACCATTCAATATATGTGCAACTCCCTATACAGTGAGAATTCCTTACAAAGAAGTCCATATGCAAAGCCAAAACTTAATAGACAAATGTTCTTCAAGATTTTTATTCTGTTATAGTTCTAATGTGAATATTTAGAATATGTATACTCAAATATTTCAAAGAATAAATTATTTGATTAGTATAAATACATTTTCAGAACAATAGGAACCATGACACCAACACAGAAATAAACTGTTGTTGACACAGAGATATGTCTTGCCTGTCAGCATAAAATTCAGAAAAAGACAATCAGATGGACAGCAACATTGCTAATTAATTCAAAGTTGCTGGACCAGGAACTAGTGGGTAGGGCCTCCAAATGGTCAACAGAGATGTATGGACAGTAATGTAACTTTATGGAAAATATAATTGTCTATTGTAAGTAGTTTCTATCAAACTAACTAAAGCAAAAAACTTAACATTGAAAATTGGAAATTAATTGAAAGTCACTGGACCATGACCTAGGGGCAGGGCCTCAAAATAGTCTTCAAACTGATATGTACTGATTGCAATGCAACTTCATACAAAATATCATTGATCTATCACAAGTAGTTCCTATCAAACTAACTTAAGCCCTATGTCTCGATTTCTGCAACCTTCGTAGCTTGCGAGACAAAAATTATATTTTTTACTCATTCTAGTTGTTATTTTCAGGTGCATTTCTTAAGATATTTTTAACCTTCAAATTATTGTACTCTTGGTTCATCACTCATTATCAATTTTGTCAACATACAATAATAAATTGTAATTTTAAAACACCAAATACTTACCTTATACTTTTTTCGTGGATTAAGGAAGAATAATTCAAGGATACTTAATTTCATGGTTTTAACAACTTCTGTATACTATCATTTAGGACTTAGTTTCATTGAATATTGAAAAATCTTGGTTCACCTATACCCCCATTCTATTTTGAAAAGGTTTGTCTAATTTGGTTAATTTAAAAACAACTATCTATTATCAACCAGATGTGAATGAATGTGCATTTCTGAGTCTGGAACATTCAAACCTTATCAATTAAAAGAAATAACTCAATATCAAAATTGGCAATTATTTACATCTGAAAAAAATATATATTTCTAGAAAAAATATTTTTATAATATGCATGTTCCAACATCGAGCATTTAAAAAGTGTTTCAAAATATGAACAAGAGTTGAACAAAGGAGATACTTAACTTATGTGTAAATTGAAAAGCATGAGTATTCTGCTGCAAAATCATCTCTTCATCTTGCAAAATGTTGACTCCCTTCAAATTAATGACTACATTGTTCTCCATTGAAACACATCCTCATTGGTTATATTTACTGTGATTCTAGCTACATTTATCATAGGTATCCGAGGAAATCTTCAGCTACATTTATCACATTTGCTTGGTATTTCAGAGGTAAATACATACAAGTGTACTATCCTATTAGGTACCATGTTATAATATAATCTGCAATGCAACCATATTAAGTGCAAGACGAGGTAAGTAGACCATCTAAAACACATTTCTGTCATAGAAGTTTAAATAGGTCAAATTTTAACCAAATTTTTAAAACTGTTTTAAAAAATGCGCTGTTTGTTACATAATTGGCCAATTAAGTTAAACAGCAGAAGTCACTCAACAGGATCATTAAAGGACTAATTCTCTGCCTTTCGTCTTAACCTTTAAACCCTCATTTAAACTTTGATACAAAATTGTCTCATTGGCATTCATACAACATCTTCTTATTTTCATATAAATAACAGGCAATTTGTTCACATCTTTAATATTACATAACTAATAAAATTATCAGCAACAAAAAAAGTAGTTATAATATGACTGTAAATCATTTATGATACTTCTTAGAATGTTTCTCTAATTTTTACACAACTGCATCCAGTCAAGTCATCTATTCCATACAAATGTTGATGTTAATGTTCCATTTTATCTTCATCTGAATCACTTTCAATCTCTAATTCTTCTTGCTCATTCTTTCCTTCATCTTCTTCCTCTTCGTCACCTAGAAAAAGAATCACACAGTGAATAATAAATTGAATTAAGAATCGACAAATGTGGCAGTCTTCACACTTGGCCACATGCCCACCAGCCCAGGCTTGTAAAGTTTCTACTGGGCCTGTTAAAATTCCTATTACAGGCCAATAGAAACTATACAAAATTTTCAAAAAAATGATCCAAACCGTGCTTACGCATTAGAACTCAAAACTGTCCAGTTGCTGACCAAATATAATGTCATTTTTTTTAATAGTACCTTCAAAAAGTGTGACAGGAATATTTGTTGGAAGAACGGACAGACAAACAAACTGACTATAAGACTGACTGACAAGGTAAATGCAATATAGCTTAAAGAGTGGGGATATAATAATAATCGTTTAGAAGACATATACAATAATATTAGGATCAGCTGATTAATACTGCATAGCTTTTTTAATTTTCAATGAGTTAAATTTCACAATTTCTTTGAAACTTTTATTTTCATGTTTTTCTTTTGCCTAATTCTGATATTCTTTTAATATCAATTTTACTGGAGTGGATATTTTTTTTCCTTTTTCATAATTGCCAAAACTAAAGAAAATCAAAGCGCGAAAGCGCTGTAAAGGCAGTTAATTACAGGTTGTGTGTATTTTTAGTCCAGTTATATCATTATCTTGCATAGTACATTGTACTTATCAGAGGTGGCTTTCAGTATTTAAGATTTAGAGTTCTCTAATGATATTGAACAAGTTTTATGAATGTCATATTCTGAGCACTATATGAAGGCGATTGTTCTCACTTGTTTATGAACTAGTGCATTATGTCCAGTTAGTACCTTTTTTATCTATGTTTATAGTCAAATACTGTTTAAAATAGTTTGGCATTTTCTTTTAAGTAATAAGTAAATGTTATCAACTGTATTTTATTCAACTTTGCAAATGTGGTTTGTTACTGGTAAGTACAATGTATGGATGATAGTTGTTTCATTGGCAATCATAACACATCTCCTTATTTATATAATGATCTATATTCAACGACCTCAGGTACAAAAAATATGTATGTAACTAAACTATGATGGGAAACCTTTGACTTCTTTCTTTAATATAAACTTTTGATTTGGTACCATAGAACTATGTAGAATAAATGTACATTGCAACATGTCAACTCTTTCAATGACAATACTTTTTTTAGAAACTATAACTCCAAGCAAAATTATATTTCCAAGTATAAAGTAATTTATGAATGAAACAAGAGTGCACACGCTGAAATGTCTCGCCTTCTTTACTAATCATTGATATTATGTTGATAGTCCTAAATATAAAGCTTTATTACAACTGTCACATAAACTTAACATTAACCAAGTAAACTAAACATTGACCAATGAACCAAGAAAATGAGGTCAAGGTCAGATGAACCATGCTAGGCAGGCATGTACAGCTAACAATTCTTCCATACAACAAATATAGTTGACCTATTGCTTATAGTTTAAGAAAAACAGACCAAAACACAAAAACTTAAAACTGAGCAATGAACCTTGAAAATGAGGTCAAGGTATAAAAAAAACCTGCGTGACTGACATATAGATCATAAAATATTTCCATACACCAAATATAGTTGAACTATTGCATATAGTATTAGAAAAAAAGACAAAACTCAAAAACTTAACTTTGACCACTGAACCGTGAAAATGAGGTCAAGGTCAGATGACACCTGCCAGCTAGACATGTACACCTTACAATCATTCCATACACCAAATATAGTAGACCTATTGCATACAGTATAAGAAAAACAGACCAAAACACAAAAACTTAACTATAACCACTGAACCATGAAAATGAGGTCAAGATCAGATGACACCTGCCAGTTGGACATGTGCACCTTACAGTCCTTCCATACACCGAATATACTAGACCTATTGCTTATAGTATCTGAGATATGGACTTGACCACCAAAACTTAACCTTGTTCACTGATCCATGAAATGAGGTCGAGGTCAAGTGAAAACTGTCTGACGGGCATAAGGACCTTGCAAGGTATGCACATACCAAATATAGTTATCCTATTACTTATAATAAGAGAGAATTAAACATTACAAAAAATCTTAACTTTTTTTTCAAGTAGTCACTGAACCATGAAAATGAGGTCAAGGACATTGGACATGTGACTGACGGAAACTTCGTAACATGAGGCATCCATAAACAAAGTATGAAGCATCCAGACCTTCCACCTTCTAAAATATAAAGCTTTTAAGAAGTTAGCTAACGCTGCCGCCGGATCACTATCCCTATGTCGAGCTTTCTGCGACAAAAGTCACAGGCTCGACAAAAAGGAGTTCTTAATTAAGTAATAAACTGATTTGCTGAGCGCAGCTGGATACACCCACAGAGGTCCAACCCTGAACAGTTGAGGCAAAAATGGACACAATATTCAAGCTTGATACAGGTCTGAATTTGGATTGTAATTAAATATTTGACATATTATAGTTTCTGAATAAATGTAGTCAAAGAACTTGAAATCGGTTATATGAATTGAATTTATATTCAGTTAAAGATTTCTTGCTGTTGTGCAATACACTGTGCTGTTGCGCAATACTTAATAAATCTGTTGCCAGACTATAAACAAATAAAGTTCAATTTCTTCTCAATGTCATATTTGAAATTTATGAAAATCAATAGGGAGATTACATCAATAGCTATAAATAATTCACCAAAGTTTCATGCGAACTGCTTAAAGCATTTTTGAGTTGTTGTCCAAAAACTGGAAAATCCCCCCCTTTTTAATGAATAAAACCCCATAACTCAATAATGTAAAATCTAAAATTTATAAAATTCTAAAGGGAGCTTATGGATTGATAATTTAGTCTTAGATGCAAGTTTTTTTTATCAGTTGTTTGTGGCTTTGAACTAGCTGTCAGTAAATGTGAGTACTCTCAGATCTGTACTTAGTGTCTTTTTGTTGTTTGGATGTACAACTACCCAGCCACGTCCACTAGTATTTGTATTTATCCATCTGATGAGTTAAGCCTCTTTCAACTGATTTTTATAGTTCGCTCTTATATTGTACTGTTACACCACTGTCCCAGGTTAGGGGGTGGGTTGGGATCCCGCGAACATGTTTAACCCCGCCACATTCTGTATGTACATGTATGTGCCTGTCCCAAGTCAGGAGCCTGTAATTCAGTGGTTGTCGTTTGTTTATGTGTTGCATATTTGTTATTCGTTCATTTTTTGTACATAAATTAGGCCGTTAGTTTTCTTGTTTGAATTGTTTTACATTGTCATTTCGGGGCCTTTTATAGCTCACTGTGCGGTATGTGCTTTGCTCATTGTTGAAGGCCGTACTGTGACCTATAGCTGTTAATTTCTGTGTCATTTGGTCTCTTGTGGAGAGTTGTCTCATTGGCAATCATACCACATCTTCTTTTTTATATTTACATCAACAGATATAAACAATTCACCAAAGTCAAGGTGAGACAACAAAACTTAGTTGTAAGATCTCTGCAATTATTTACACGGTACAAGTTTTTCTAATTGTTGGAGATTGTATGGTGACAGTAACACCTGTAACTGCTTAACCCATTTCTTATGCACTTTGGTTCGATAAACTCACTGAATATCATACCACATCTCCTTATTTTTATATGCATTACAATTTACATGTGCATGTAATTGTAAATAATATTTATATATATATATCAGAACAAACTTCATTGCGTCACTTTTATTTATGCATCCTTTGGCACAATACAAGTTCTAAAATTACACAACATAAAACAACTAAATGTTATTTCAGATGAAAGTTTTGTTTCAGTTCCATTCATAGGATTTATTAGAATTTTGTATGTTTTGCCAAGTCCAATAATTAGCTCTATGTGCACGTGTTAATTGGAGACTTTTCTATCCCGTATAAGAGTTTTGGAACTAATTCTGTTTCTTTTTTTGAAAAAAGTGAGCAAACAAATCTTGCACATTTAAACCTTTGTCTGCCATCACACTGTCACCTGGATCACATAATTGAACTATTCTACATCTTTCAACTATTTCACAGTCACTGGTACAACCAACATATGCATTAGAGACATAGTTGACTAAACCACCAGGTGTCGAACATACAAGTATTTTCAGTGTTTCTGTTTTTATATGATGAAAAGGTTGCCTGAGCTCTAGGAGCTTTAGGTTTTATCACAGGATATTCTGTGCTGTCAATAATAATCCAAGTTGTAGGAAACTTTAATTCTAAGTTGGATGGCGAAAAATACCTGACTAAACCACTAAATGGCCAAGTGTTAGCCTCACGCCACTGTTTAGACATAAAAACAATCCATGTTTACACAATATTCTTAACACTAGTTTCAATCTAGAATCTAGACAGTTCAAAGTTGGTTGTATAATGCATCAATTTCATCAAAGTCATAAAAAAACTGATTTTCAAATGACACCCTATCAATTTGAAAATATATGTATCTCAAACAATGTGCTGTTGGACCAAGTGTGGTCAAAACAAATAAAAATTTAGTATACAACTCTAAACCGGTATAAAAATGCATGGCTGTGTCACGTGTCTTCATTTCAAAATTCTCTGCTGAAAATATAGGCATTGATGGTGTTTGCGTAATTCCATCTGTGAAGCTCAACATTAGCTCGGCAGTTGGTGGTGGACAGTCATAAATCCTGTCTGCAGTATGAATTACTTCTTCTGGAAAACCAACTTTACAATCAAAACTTTCCTCTAGATTTCTACTACAATATTCATCAAGTTTAGTTCTTTTGTTTTCACAGGAAACTGCCCTGATTTTTCTTTTTGCGGACGATTCAGTCTCTTGCTTGGTCCAGGAAAATAGGCTGGGATTGGCAGTAGACTTAAAGTCTCTGTATGGTGGGTTTGTGCCCTGAAAAAGGTTATAAAACATTAGTTTTTTGATAAATAAATGAACTTCCATTAGCAATGCATACTTTGTACAGAAGCAAGTTAACTCGTACCATTGTAAACTCGTACCAACGTAAACTCGTACCACTGGGAAGTCGTACCACTGCAAACTCGTACCATTAAAAATATATTCAAAAATACGAAAGTTTTATGATTTTTTTTTTTGGTAAACTAAATAAAAAAAGTTGAATTACTTGAATTTTATACTAGATTTTAATGAAAACTTAGACAAAAATACGAATGTTTTATGATTATTTTTTTTTTAAGCTTTATACAAAAAATTAAAATATCTTTGAAATTTATACCAGATTTTAATGAAATCTTAGACAAAAATACAAATGTAATTTCTTAATTACCATGCTAATAAATATATTAAATTCCTTTGATTGTGTGATTATTGGTTGATTATTAACTAATCAACTTGGTTTTTTTTATCTTTAACTAATCAACTTGTATAATCATATAAGCATGGTCATATTCTGCTGAAATGTGCTGAATATTGTATAAAAATAAATTTCATACTGTCTAACTGTTGGTCATAAACAATTTTAAACCTTTTAAACACAATCAATAAATTCTTTCATTAAATAAAATTCCTTTTAGAAACAATAGAAAAATACCCAAATCTATTCAATGTTACTGATTTGGAATGATTAAAAATTAAATCAAATAGTTGTCAGTAAAAGTTTAAAAAAGAGTCTATTCAAGGGAGACAACAAAGCCAATCTGCCACGGTTTTCTCTTTTCAATTAGACAAGGAAAATTAGCTACAAATTGGTTATTGTAATTTCAAATTATATACATTTTACAGACTTAAGAGGTATTGAGTGAAATTAAAGTATATATTCATCATTAAACACCATTTGAATGCATTTAAATAAGTGGGTACGAGTTTACAATGTTATGAATTTACCGTGGTACGAGTTAGCAGTGGTACGAGTTTGCATTGGAACGAGTTTTTGTTTAGTGGTACGAGTTGACATTGGTACGAGTTACAATGGTACGAGATAACTATAATTCCTTTGTACTCGTAACCTGGCAAAATATTAACTAGATTTATTCATTACAATCTGGATATAACTATGTTAGCCTGATTCAATGTACATCAAAATGTATGTTATGTAAATCCAAAGGACAAACAATGAGAGACGTATGCAACAAACATACATTGTTTGTACCTAAATAACTATAATATAGATGAGAGCATGTCATTGTTTTGTTCCTGTTAACATTGTCATTGATATTTTTCAAGAAAGTCTATGAGGCATAGCTTATGCATTCCTGTCATTACTACATAAGCATAATTACTGCTAAAATAATTCTCAGTATGATATACCTCTTGTAAGAAATCATTATAATTGTAGCAAGCACCAAAAAATCTCAAACAGATCACATTGAATCGTAATCCAAAAAAATTATGACGTCTTGAATTAACCACCCCCTTTTATTCTACAACGATAATTGAGTTGTAAACTGACTTTGGTTTATTCGCATGGCGATTACATATATAACTATATATTTTAAAAAGAAAATAGAATTTTACCATGAATAGTTTCCTGCACGTAGTCTTTTTCAGTAAAATGTGCCTTGCAAACAACAGCTGATTGAGATGGACTCCACGATTTCATCGTGTTCTCGTCCAATCTGCGTATGGGCCATGGCGTTGATCCAACTTTTCCTTCTTTTTAAGTCATTTGGAAATGCATGTCCTCCTCTTAAATGACATCCAGGTACACAACAACAAGTACTTGGCATCGTTAATTAAAAATGCAACTGTAATAGTTGCACAGTGCAGAAACCGGAAGTTGAAGTACAGGATCGGCTACAACGGCGCCACCTATTCAGGAACGATAATTTGCTACTTTATATAACTGCGAAATAACAATAACGTTAGACGGGTTCGCGTGCATAAACAGAAATGCGCTTTAAATTGTATAATATAATTCATGTTCAGTCGACCTTTAATTATTATATCAACGACTGAAATGATTTATAAACATCTAGATTGCAGAAAACACTCGAAATTAACCCGAGCTCTTTCCACACGGAATTCAAATAATTCTAGTTTGTCAATCGGTTGACTGCTTATAATGTAAAATACAAATATATCAAAAGTTTTTAAAACTAACAAAACACAATGATCGTTTCTCTATTTCCCAATGTAAATGAAATGAGACAAAAAACATTTTATACCACAATAAGAAGAGGAGAGAATCAACATTTTCCGGATCTACTTGGAGCTAAATGACCCCCCACGTAGATAAGTTGGATATCGCGGAAAGAAATATTAACACGGCAACTAGAAAGACATTAAAGCACTGCCTTTAAAAATGAACACCTCACACAAATTTCTCATTCTCCTATTTCATGTATTTCAGTAAAAAAGACTTAATAGATTTAAACAATGATGTAATATTTCAATTCAGTGTATGAACAATGGCATTGCAATATCTTTTTAATTACAATTATTACATCAAATTAATATTAGTATGTCCTACAACATACCTGGTCCAATTTCAGACAACAGCTCATCCACATGTTTCAACAATTCTTCATCTTCATATTTTAATTTGGCACAAAGCTATAAAATCAAGTATAAGATTCAATATATTTTGACCTTTTGAAGTAATTAAATGTTATTTATTGAGTTAAATTAGGATTGTATGAAGGTTAGTATGGATCAATATTCATGCAATAACCCATTTATTGCATGGCAAACTCCTAAAATGATAAATAATAACATGTTTGACAACTCTTAGTATTGCATTTTCATGTGCTTTTTCAATCTCAATATATAAAGTTAACAAGAATAATTTTCACTAAAAATATATTGCTTGTTTTCACTTCTTCAACTATGTGATTAGTTTCCAAGACTACTGATTGTTGCGAGTTGTTGACCTGTAATTTTATAATTCCTCAAATTTTTAATGAACTGTCTGAATTGGCTTATTGAGAACAGGCATGTGTTCTACTGTTTACATTCTAAAACTTTTACATACAATCCACGTTTTGAAATAATATAAATGTATGTTTGATGAAACAACATACTTCTTACTTAATTAAATTGCTGTTTTTCGAGAAAGTATTTTTCTGTACTGATTTTTCATTTTCTAATATAAACCTGATAAAATAATGCAACATGAATTTTAATGATTTTTTTTCCAGAATGATGAGTGTGGTAACTGTTGATATGCTGAAAGACGCCTCCGGGTGCGGGAGTTTCTCGCTGCATTGAAGACCCATTGGTGGCCTTCGGCTGTTGTCTGCTCTATGGTCGGGTTGTTGTCTCTTTGACACATTCCCCATTTCCATTCTCAATTTTATATTGTTTAAAAAAAATCCTGCAGTTTTGTTTGTGTGTTTTCTGTGAAGGGATAACAACATTGTACACTAGTGATCTCAGGGGGACAAACTCAGTGTTGCATTCTATTCCTGCCTTTATAAATTACATCATACCAAGTCAATGAAAATTTTTAATTGACAACACACATATAAGAACTTGAAGTGTCTAACATTAAAAATTTGAAAATCAAGGCATTAATACTGATTTACAAGTCTGTCAATTTTATAAAGTGTACCATTTAAATATTTACCTTTTTACACTTTTCCAGATAAAACCTGGCATTGCTTTTATAGTCTTCTCCCATTGAAAAGTTTGCCCACCCAATAAGATACCATACTTGTGGTACTTCATCATTTTCATCTAATAAGCCTTCAGCTACATCTATTGCTGTCTAAAACATCAAATCATTATATTAATTTTGAAGTATCAAACATTGTACAAAAAAGTAAAAAAAATCCGGTAGTGAAATAGTATATAAATGGTAAAAGAAGAAGCCATTTTCAAGGAACCTGTTACAAAGAACTCAATAATCAAAAGATAAACTGTAAACCAACTAATTTTCACATACTTTTTCATGTATTCCCATTTCAGGAAAACTTCACAATAATTTATTTTTTCATCTATGTTGGTGTATTCATGTATGTGAAGATGCAAGTTTGACATATTTTTGACAATTCACATTCTTGTGATTTTTCTACTTTGGAAAGTGGCGAAAATAAATCACTTAACAAAATTTGTTGGTTTATGATACAGCCAAATCAGTTAAAAATAAGACAATTCAAATCTATGCATAAATTGAACTTTGAACTATCATGAACATCATGGTCCTATAATCAATTGGTGTCAATACATAGGCTTTATAGTTTTATTAATAAACTGATGTGCCATGAGGACATGATATGCCCTTCCCCAGGAATTGTTACAAAAAGTAATGTGAAAATATTTCAAATAGTGTGAATTGTTTTTTCCTACCAAATATATTCCAAGATCAAAATTTACATTGATTGTTCACGGCATACTGGGGTTATTAAGAGACATGCATGTCCCTATTTTTGAAGATTTGAGGCAAATAATTCTGGAACAAAAAAATTAATAATTGTCAAAATTAATAATTGTCAAACAGAACACAGTCTTGTAGTCTACCATCATTTGCAATAACTTAGCAAAGATTGCACAAAATTCTAAAACTTGCTTATTTATTTAAAGATTATTAAAGTGCCAAATCTCTTGAACAAGAAAATCATTGTATGTACAGACCTTTAAACCATTAAGTTTGAAATCACTTAAAGGATATGTAAGTTAATATGTGAAATGTTAAATATTGCTTATTTGTCCATGTAAAGGTCCCATAACTCTGCTTGATAAGAATACAGACCCCCAGATCTAACGTTTTTAATCATTTGGTAAATTTGGACGGTGGAAGGGACAATTGTATACCATGATATTCCCATTGTTGGGTTATCAAAACTAATATAACCTATGCTTTTACTTTGTAAGTAATTATATACCATAAAAATATTTTATTCCTGAGGGATATACAATTCATGGTAATTTCTAAAATTTCATCAAACCAGAACCTTATCTTATTGTTGTTCTTGAGAAATAAATTATAATTCCTCTGCAAAAACAAGCATTCGTTGGTTCCATTTGAGAGTTGGTACTCCTTGAGAGAAATTTCCTCATTAAAATAACCTCTTTCTCAATACCACTGTCTTTAAAATCTTAGTAGTCTTATGTGACTGTATGCTATAAGAAGTTGACTCTAATATTTTATAAGTAAACACCTCTACTATTTTATTCCAGAGCAATAAAAATGAAAACCCCAAAATAAAGTTTTTCTAACAAACCAACAAATGTAACTTAAAAATGCCTAACTCAAGCAACAAAACTTACTTCATATTCATCAACTTCTATCAGTATTTTGGTGGTTGAAATTCTGGTATCATATCCTAAAGGAACTGCCTGCAAAACATAAACATATCAATAAATTATCTGCAAGTTTCAAATATTTTTTTTTAACAATGTGTCAGAGGATGCTATTTTGTTGTTATAGATTTCAAATCTAATTAGATAATTTTTATTTTATATCCTACATCCTTTCAATCCTTCAAGATGATATAATTGCCAACTTTACTTAATTACCATTCACACCAAATGGATTGGGAGGCATATATGACATGACATAGATTAGCAACCAAGTTGTGGCAATATCTCACAGTAGTCCTTTTAGTATCTTCCACAGGTAGGATCACCTTTCATATTGAAAGAATGAATTCATCTTTAAAAATACAAATTTGTCAATTTGAATTCATTTGTTACAAGGATCAAGCATTTATACTGTGACCAAAACATTGAAATTAATTGTTGAAATCTTACTTCTACAGGGTCATTATTTTCTTGCTCCGTCACTTCACCTTTATCTAATGCCTTGAACTTTGGTAACCATAATGATACACTCTTTTTCATAACATCTTTGGCATTCTAAAAAAGAAATCATATAATGCATTTTTCTTCTCAAAATTCAGACAATCTCCAACTTTATTAGATGCACTAATAAATTTAAAACAAAAATGTTTCTTTTTAATGTGTATACTTACTGTTCACTAAAAAGTCTTCAGACCTGAGCCCAGAAAAAACAATTTTTAGTCTTTTGACTTCTTTACATAATATCAAATTGATTTGCTTTTTAAATAGTACATACTTTTCATTGTAGAAAGCAATTCAACTGCTATCTATTTTCTAAAAAAAATATGATAACTCATGATCCTACATCCTGTCAATAAATACTGTTTACTTATATTTTGGCATTGCACAGGGTCATGCGTTTTTCGGACTATTTATGACTTCTTTACACTAAATCTGTTGGATGCGTACTGATTGATACTTTAATCTGGGAGAAAATGATTTATCAATTATTTTTAATTCGATTTGAGATAGCTTTCAGTAACTGTGAATACTCTTATTTGAATGCTTTTTGTCTATTGTTTTTATGTTAGTTGTTTTTTGTGCCTCATACCAATCTTTTGAGTTATAAAGCCAAACGTAAGTGATTTTTTGCAGTTTGCTGCTACACCACAGTCCCAGATTAGGGGAGGATTGAGCACTCACAAACATGTTAAACCCTGCCACATTCTTAATGTGCCTGTCCCAAGTCAAGAGCCTATGTACAGTGGTTGTTGCTGGTTCATGTTTGTCATATTTGTTTTTCGTAAATTGTTTTGTTATAAATCAGAATGTTAGTTTTATCGTTTGAATTGTTTCACATTTTTCATGTTGGGGCCTTTTATATCCAACTATACGGTATGGGTTTTTCTCATTGCTGAATGCTGTATTGTTGCCTATAATTGCTTACTACCACTTCATTTTAACTCTGGTGGATAGTTGTCTCATTGGTAATCATACCAGATCTCCTAATTCTTATAATAAGGTGACACCAATTATGTTTTTTCTGGGATCATATACACATAAACAATCAGATTTCTTTATAATTTTTGTACCTCTTTGTCTTCTTTTGACAACAGGAAACTTGCCATCAACTGATATCCCTCAGGATTTTCTTTATCTATATCTATTGCCTTTTCTATAAATGTTTTGCATTTGGACTCTGCTTCTTCTTCAAAGCTACAAAATAAAAAAAATAAGCTTGATAATCAAACTACAATTTACTCTTCTGCACTTATTTTTTAAGCTTTAACAGTGTACTTCTGAAATATAACTATAAGAACTCTCCATGGGATTACAGTGATGACTATAGGGCTCTCTATGGGGCTACAGTGATGACAATAGGGCTCTCAAGGGGACTACAATGATTAAGCATATGTAGCAGTTATGCTTTGGAAATATCACTGTAAAGCTTAAAAAGGATTTTATAGTAACCACCGATCATCATAAAATTTTGTGAATCATAGAATATGCTATTGAAAGACGACTGTTGGGCTCTCCAAAGGATTTATATACATCCCATTAGTTTGTCATATAAATTTTAGCTATAGCCTAGGCAAATAGGGTCAACAAATATCCATGTGGGGATGTACATAAAGGCTTCCTTACTTACCACAGATCTGTCATATAAAGTTCAGCTATAGCCGAGTATGCACCAGAAATATCACTGTCTGTCACACTCTGGGGACCACCACAAGCTGCTGCTACCTACAAAATATAACAATCAATCAGTATTCATCAAATAAATACTTATATGATGTATTAGATTGGATACAGGGGTACACAAACAGTTATATTTGCCAGTAATGAACAACCAAGACCTCAACTTGGCCTTAAAATTATCAATACCTTCTAAAAAGCAATATTTACAATTTAAAAATGCAAATTTTAATTAAACCAATTATTTTTTCTGTTAATTGTTTGTTTCAGAAATGTACAGTATTGATCCGTTCATAAAGAGAGTTTATTTAAGTTTTAGCCATATTTGGTATTTTTTCAACACATAATTATATACAAACCTCTAATGCTTGTTGTTTTTCCTTCTCTTTCAACATTAACTCTATCCCTTTCTGGTAACATTCTACTGCCTGAGCTCCTTCAAACAACTGGCCTAGGTACATATATTTCTCATGTCCTTTGTCTGGCGATATCTCTACTACTCTCCCAAAACACTTCAAATACAGAACAGAAAGGTTACAATAATAGTCATAAATCTTAATCAAACTAACAAGGTACATTATGGTGACAGAGCAATAATTCATGTGTAGGTATGCAGTGTTGAACTATGTTATCTTTTTGCAAGGCTATAAAGCTGGTAGTTTGACTTGTTTTCCAGGTGATTACATTTGTAACTATGACAAGCTGTGTTACCTCTGTCTTTGTTCTTAATCAAGCTAAAGTGCTAGTGATAAACAAATAAGTTTTTCCTACTTGTCATGGCCATATCAGGGTTCTAACTGAGTTTAGTCCACAAGTCCTGGTCTCCAAAAAATTAGACCATGAGACTGGTTTAACTGTTTTCCACGATGCATCAAGATTCTATGAGCTCAATTTAGGAACCATCACTTCATTTACAATTGAACAAGTAATCTAAATCTGATTTTTTCCCCAATTTGTTTCAAGCAGAAGACAATAAAATATTTCTTTAAAGCTGATATAATTTTTTTTGTTCAGAAAAGTAAACTCACAATGATGAAAAACGATGAGTCCTAGGGTTTGACTAATAACATTTTTAGTGAGAACCCTGTCATTGATTTAAAACTTTAAATTTCAGGTAGTCTGTCTTGCTCACCTGGGATCTATGCATAATATTGACATGATCTGTTGAATAATAAATTATTTCTTTAAAGCTGATATAATTTTTTTTGTTCAGAAAAGTAAACTCACAATGATGAAAAATGATGAGTCCTAGGGCTTGACAAATAACATTTTTAGTGAGAACCCTGTCATTGATTTAAAACTATAAATTTCAGGTAGTCTGTCTTGCTCACCTGGAATCTATGAATAATATTGACATGATCTGATTATCGATCTTACTAAATTATTTTCTCCTTTGGTAGGCTACATCAAAAGACAAAATTTTTAAAGAGGGCACCCCCTAAATGATGAGTTTTTTATAGTTTTTTTCACTCCAAATATCAAGACTATCTGATATCTACTGAAAAAGTTAAACTGGTGACCACAGATAAATTGTTAATCATTCAAAGAGAGTGTCACATGAAGTTTTTTAGCAGATCATTGCAAAAATCATGTTAAAATTTACCTACATATTGTCTTAAATTAATTAAGAATCAGATCTCACCACTATCAACATTTTAATTTTAAATATTCAAAATTAACTGTTTTGAGATGACAAATACCATATCACAATAGATGCTGTGGTAGTTATATCAATGTTTATTTAATTAATCCAAATCGAAGTACAACAGCCTGCTTAAGTATAAAGAACAGCCCAGGATGACATACTAAAGCTTATATATGTGCATCTTTGTGCTAAGATCTTAAAATGTACATATAGTTTCATGAATGTAGGAAGAAGCAAGCAGGAGGAGTGGCATCCATGAAGTTAATACTGAAAAGGAAAAAAAAAATTCTAAATTCAAGGGGGCATAATTCTGGAAATACTAAACATTGCTAAATGGAAAAAATAATCCTTCCTGCAAAGTCGACACGTCATAATCTGTAATTGTACAAAGTTTGTTTTGAATTGGACAAGGATTTCAAATTTAGCTCAGACAGATGGACAGACATACAGAAAGGCAGATTCCTATATACCTATATACCCTTTTTTTGCTGGGGTGTAATAAGTTCATGTGCTGACTGATGCATTTTTAAGATGTAAAAATTCTAAAATCCAGCATATTCTACCCTTCCCAATTCATAATTTTAGAATCTATATTCACAAAGCATTCTCATTCTTATTTCATTCACCAACACCAAAAGCAACAAAATATAAGAAAATGGTATATCTATTGCTCAATAGCATTGTTTACACCGATTGACCTTGGGTCAACCAGTGTAACTCAATCATAAAAAATCAACTCGAGATTGTATTCTAATATTTTCAATGTTTTTTTTTCTGTTCAGAGGACTTTTGATTGAAATAGTGATAACTTTTATACAACCCACCTGTTTAGCTGATTCTGGATTTCCTAGTTCCAAAAGTAAAGTTCCAGTAGTTTCAAGAGCTCTGATATTATCTGCCTCTATTTCTAAGGCTCGCTGACAAAATTTCTGAGCAAGTTCATACTCAAATCTGTTTATACAATCCTCTGCCTGTTATATACCATAAAATATATATACTTCATGCAATTCATACACAATTTTACGACAAACTTGGAAGTATTTGTAGGAAATTTACACAGCAGCAATACTACTATAAATAAGCAAATATGATGTCATTGGAAACAGATAAATTTCCATGAGCACACTTTTTAAAGTAACTGTCGACATTTTCTGTGTGTTTGCCATCTGTTTACACTAATTACATTGAAGTAACCACTTTCCCTAAATTGTGTTCATACTCTATCATTTATTTTCCTATTGACAGCAAGGTAACAGAGGAAAGCCTGTATTGGCAAAATTCTTTATACCACGTACCTGTCCCACAAAAGGAATCTTGTCAGTAGTAGACCATGCATGTACATGTATATTCCTTTATTCTCATATATAACCTTACATTAAATTTTATTAGTAAACTAACAACCTTAGAATAAATCACCTTAATAATAAAATTTAATGACATGGGTAAAGAAAGTGGCTTAAGAATTATAATGCAGTAAACAGCTGGATTCCTATGATTTAATCTTACTGTTGCAGTAATTGATAGATTTAGTGCCAGTTAACAGCAAAATCTGACAATCATGATTGTACAGGGTTACATGGTGTTTTGTTACTTTTAATTTATTTTAAACAAACCTTTGTTCACCTTTGCTGTATTTGGAGTTTGACTACAGAACTTAGGGAGATTCAAAGCTTGCTTTTACTGAAAGATGTACATGTATGGTGGATTCAGGATTCGTTCTGGTTATTTTTTTTAATCTGGTATTATTTGATTGCATCTGAAGAAAGTATAGCTGACTTCACTTGGTCAGTTTTTGAATGCATGTGTGTGTCTAACCTGACCAAAATTTACAGATTTTTAACAAATACAGATACATTTGGACTGTGCACTTGAAAAAAAAATTCAATTAAGTTAAACTATCAGTATCTATATGCTCTACATTACCTTATCAAGAAGTTGATCAACACTGTACTGGGGAGATGTTTTTGTTTTAGCAGATTCTGCAGCAAATTGTTTTCTTGCTTCTCTTAAAACTTTCCTTCTGTCATCTGAAAGATATTTTACTAGGCAATAATTTTCTATTTTTTCTAAAACAATTACAAAAAGTGCAATGAAACACTACATGTACATGTACATGATGTATGTCTTACTCAGCATAACCCAACTCTTATTTCAAGTATTGAAAAGCACTTACACCTTGCAAGTCATCACTTACAACATGTACAAGTTGTTGACTGTATATGAAGTAATTCTGTTCAGTAGAACTGGAGAAATGTATGAGGAATTGTTTTAAGTTTATTCAACATATTAAAATTTTTAAAGTATCAGGAACAGGAATAAGGTGATGTGATTGATCTTAAAAGTGCTACCGCAATACAACTCATCACTGTCTGGCTGCTGACCAAATACCATGTACAAAATGTATGTGTTTTGGCATGAATGAAGGACAACCTTTTCTTTTATGCCATACATGCAGAAGCACTGTTTTAAGGTCTTCAATGATAAAGGCTAGTTGTTTTTTTCATATGTGTCACTACAGTACAGACTATACTGGTATGTCAAATCTAAGGCTGTTTGTCCTGATTCACGTTCACCCTACTACCTGTTTTGAATAGATATAAAATATAAGGAGATGTTGTAGGATTGCAAATGAGACAATTATCCACCAGAGACCAAATGATGTAGATGCACGGCCTTCAACAATGAACAAAAAAACATTGCACATAGCTATAAAAGACATAAGAAAATGTAAAACAATTCAAATGAAGAAACATTTAGAGTATATACTATATATAAACTTTACTATGGGGTATGGGTTTTGCTCATTGTTGAAGGCCATACAGTTACCTATAGTTGATAACTTCAATGTCATTTGGTCTCAGGTGGAATGTTGTCTCATTGGCAATTATACCACATCTTATTTCTATATACATGTACAATGTATATACATAAAATTGAGAATCCAAATATATACATAAAATTGAGAATGGAAATGGGGAATGTGTCAAAGAGACAACAACCCGACCAAAGAGCAGAAAACAGCCCATGGCCACCAATGGATACTTGCTACATAAATCCTTGGTATACAGTTAAAAGGCATAATAAAGGATAATAAAACAGGTGTGTTTCTGGTAGCCCAAGTTCCAGGGCCTAATCTAGGATTTTGGAGAGGGAGAAGTGACTTCTCCTTCCATGAGAGAGAAGGGAGAAGTGGTCAATTTCTTGGAGAAGTGAGATTCCATTACCGTTTCGGTTGCATAGTGTTCTCGTGCCTATCACTAAGGAAATTGTTTTATATGCAATAAAAAATATACTTGCAGTTTTTTTCATGTTATTGTACAAAATGTATATATAGAAAGTTCTTAATAAAAAGGTTTAGACAATATAGTTGTTATTTATTCATTGATACCATTTGTACTGTCAACTTGAATTTAAGTTTAAATAAAATTTGTTGCTTGGGACATGAGGGAGTCTCGAGGGAGTAGCCTAGTAATATTGATGCATTAAAATCATGTGCATCTGCCTCAATTTATTTTTAAATATCCAGAAAAATATGACTCCAAGTTTACCGGATGAATTTCACATGACTGGGAATTTAATTTATATCACCACTTGTCATTATTTTGTAAAACATTATTAAATGTCCAGGACATCATTTTACATGCAGTTGTAGATTGAGATGCTCGTTAAAGATTGTAAGCACATATTAATTAACCGATAAACAGCTAATATCTATCATTTTTTAAAGATATCTTCCCTGTCAACGAAATGGTCGTGAAAAAAAAAATCCACTGCTGATCACAGCTGGTCGAGTGTCGTACGTTTGCAATCACATTATCTATCAGCTGTCTTTCTACCTTCTATATTTCAATTTTTATTCAATGAATATAATAAATCTACCGTTAATACCTACCCTTAACCTACCGAATAGTACATTTTGATCGACTAGTAATAAATAAAAATAAAACAAATCAGCTGAGTGATTACGCAACATCCTCAGATAAAAATCATCGTAAAATGATAACTTTAACAGACGGTCAGTTTTCCGTTTGAATAGTTTTGAATGTTATATCTGAGGATGTTCAAAGTCGCCGTTGTATTTATATAATTTGATCGTTGACAGTATTAGTCCTGGGCAGTTTCGAAAATCTCGATTTCCCTTGTCAGTTGCCTTTTTTTTTTACCTGGGAGACGTGTCATTCACAAGTTGTCTCCCTTTTACCGATTTTCATAGCGATTTGACTTCGCCATGAAGTCAGTCGGCTGGCGAGATTTAGCGATTTTCAAAATTCTATGGCGACTTAAATCGTCATTCCGCCGGCAAGATTATGGCCTGAGCCCAACCAACCCTAATTTATAATCTCCTACCCTAACTAGTTTTTTTTTCAAAAAAACAAAAAAAAATCTTTTGTTTTAGTGTATCCCAAAATCGCTGTGATTGAGAAATGAATGATAATAAACAAATGACGGTTATATAACTAGTGTGCATGCAGGCCGGTTGATGAAATGCAGTCATAAACCTGATTTATGAAGGTTCATGAGAGTTTCACAATCAAAAACATTTAAACCACAGTTCCAAGAACATCATGATGAGATTGATGGAAAAAAAATTAATAAAAAATTAATCCAGACCTACCAACCCCATTTTTTTTGGAGCATGCAACAGGAAACACACCTTTTTTTTGGGTCTAAAATCAATTCTAAATAAAAAAAAATGTAACAATCAAGCCAATCATTGCTTTAAAACAAGCATTTAATTAAAAATTATTACCATATTTTTTTTAACAAATTTATAAAGTCAACTCTGACCATCTACATGTATTTTGACAACTCACACAAAGTATTAGAAGAGGATTTGAACTATATAAATATTATAAATTATCAAATGTAATATTTTACATGACAATTCCATTTGCATGTTGCTGAATTTGCAAATCATAATGAAAAAAAATATTGTTTAATGTGAATTTAATTTTTAGTTATCTTTATCAATTTATTATAAAACTTAATGAACTGAATTTGTTTTATTTATTTGTTGAATTCTTTATTTATTATTTTAAAGTCAACTCGGACAGTCTATAACGCCAACTCTAACAAAGTATAAACATAGAGTTTGGGATATTTATATGATAAAATGTATATTTTACATCAAATTATCCTTTATACCTTGCTGCATTTGCAAATGAAGTGCCCTGCAATAATTGATTTAATGTAGATTCTAATTTCGACTTCATCAGTGTGATTTTATACTTTGAATAACTTCTTCATTAATCCATAAAACAAGTATGGCACCACAAACTCAACGGAAAGGCAACCTCCAATTCTACGTTCTCCTTCACCTCATGTACAAATGTACATGTACAAGGGAGCAAAGAAAACACAAATGGTCTGCAACTAGTCAGCGATGACAACAGATACCAAATAAAACAAACAATGCAGACACAAGCTAAGGGATGCTGTTTACCGCATGGAGTCAGTATGCCACCAAAGTGTGCCCATATTCATGGACCGTCAGTTTGAGTACATTTCGTCAGTCAGTGTTCTGAAATTAACTTTGTGTTGTGCTAAGAAAGAACTTTAGTGCTTGGCTGTATGAATTTTTAATTTCTAGTTTATGAGATGAAACGTACTGTTTTACTTTAGTGCTTTAATTATATGAACTTTATGAGATTAAGCTTCCTTAGTATATGTCTTAAGTTTTACTTAGTGCTCACATCATGTGTTTCTTATGAAAATGACAGTCGGAGCTGATTAATCAGGTCAGGAATAACCACCAATTGGTGGATTATACCTCAATTGACGTATAATCCACCAATTGACATATAATGGTATAGACCAATTGACGTATAATTCTTTGTTTTTCAAAGCAAATTATTCAACCAAAATGGAGCATTGTTTTCTTAAAACCATATTATTGTATGAAAACATGTCAAACATTCCTAGTTTAGTATAGTGACATAACATATTGCATTTAATCAATAATTGTATTTGCAGTTTCTTCTATTGTTATCTTGTCAATTCTTGATTGGCAAATTTATCACTAATCACCTGTCAATTATTTTTGTAGCGTGACTTCCGGTGATGGTGGATGTCTTTTATTTTGGGAGCGGAAAAATTTATACTTTTATCGTTGTACAGATATATTTTAGGTGTAAACAGGAATATTACATACACGCACTGTCCTACCTCAATCATACTATTATTGAAGTAAAAACTTTTCAAGGTGACAAACGATTTAAATAGAAATTCAACTTCACTTGAAAGTAGCTGAAAACTACTCACAACGCCGGACGGCGGCCATTAAATATGGCAGCTATTTAATTTGATAGAAGAGTATTTCCAGACAACTATAAGCATATAAACATTTATCTATCTATTTGAAAGTACATTTGGCTTTCTTCCAAATAGTTTATACAATAATTTCCAAAAATCAAGCTAACCAAAAGGTAGTTTAACAAGTATAAAACCACTCAAACAAAGCGTGCTTTGTACCTTCATACTTTTTATGAACGGATTGCAGTAATAACCTTGTAACCGCTTCATATAATCATCATAGTCATCATATTAACATTTGCTTTGACACGTGCTAGTGAATCTGATATTTCCTGCTTGGCTATGTAGACTAGTGTAGAATAGTGTGATATAGCGTAAACTTTTATGTGTATATATATATTGGTTGTGTAAATAACATTTTAATAAAATGCTTTGCTGGGGCGCAGCTTGATACGACCGCAGAGGTCGAACCCTGAACAGTTGGGGCAAGTATGGACACAACATTCAAGCTTGATACAGCTCTGAATTTGGATTGTTATTAAATATTTGACACAGCATAGGTTTCTGACACAGAAAGAATGTGGTCTAAGAACTTGAATTTTTTTAATTTACCTATTATGGTCCAATGTCCAAAATCAAAATACATGGTTAGATTCAGCATATCAAAGAACCCCATATATTCAATTTTTGTTAAAATCAAACAAAGTTTAATTTTGGACCCCAACTTTGACAAACTTGAAAACTGGGCCCATAATCAAAAATCTAAACACATGTT